TTATTATAAATTATTTATTATTTTATTAAACCAATTATACAATAAAACTGAATTTTGAGATTAATATTAATTGAAGGCTATAAGTTATATATAATAAATTATAAATTATTTACGATAGAAGCTATAAATTAAATTTGAATTTCATTTCATTCAAATAATCCATAGTAACGGATGCACCGCCGCATACGATCACAACTACCGGGCCATCAGAATATTGGCGGCAATTCTGTGCCAATAATGTGTTCACTAAACCGGTATAAACGGCGGCCAAAGCAGCCCCACAGGCCTTCAAAACATTAGACACAGTAATATAATACAAATATCCAATCAATTCTTATGACATACCGGTTCCACAAGCATCCGGTGCTCGTCGGCAAACCTGAGGCAAGCGTCCACTGCATCCCTATCCTCGACCAGATGTGATAGTATGGGTGGAGAACCCGTCTTATAATTGGTGGCCAACTGTTCACATATCATAAGCGGTGCCAAACTGGAGGCCACGCTTGTGATGGCCGGTAACAGAACCGGTTGTCCACCGTTTTTGACAACGGCTTCGTTGAAACAATTGGCGCCTATGGTCTCGATGGCCACAATTGGTACGTCTGTCCAGTGGTGGCGTCTCATGCCTTCAATGAGACCGCATATGAGTCCACCGCCACCACAGCTGCTGATTATCATCGATGGTTTGCCTGTCATTTGCTCTTTGAGCTCATCTATGATCGTCGAGTGACCGCTCCTGACATTCAACAATCTATTATCTCTATTATGGATCAACTGATTCTTATCTTACCATAGAATTGGGTCATCAAATGGATGGACAAAAATGTTATTATCTGTCTCTTCAAACACTTTGAGTGCCTTTTCATTGGTCTCATTCCAGAACTGTCCGAAAACCTCCACTTCCGCCCCCTCTTCGGCTATCTTTTGCACAATAATCTGATTGGCAGTCTTTGGCACAAATATGCGGCACTTCAGCGACAAGAGTCGTGCACAACAGGCGGTCGCCAGACCCGCGTTGCCGCCCGACGACCCTATGATCATATGACAGCCCTTATCCACGGCCTGTCCTCTCATTCAATTATTTATAGAAAATAATACAATATATTGCAATACCTGTTGACACAGTTTACTGACACCTCTCATCTTAAAGCTGGCACAGGGCTGACAATTTTCTAACTTTAATAAGATTTTATTAGGACTGTGCCGACTCATAGACAGGCTCTCAATCAATGGTGTCCTCACATACAGTTCCCCTTTAGTACCAATTTTCAAGTCTTCTTTTAGTTGCATTTTAATGGATAAGTATATAACTCATCAAAATTAATACACTTTAATTATTTAGAAAATATATAAAATTCTGTGTATTTATATATTTATTGATTATTTATTTAATATTTATAGAAGTGTGTTAATTATTATTTGATTAATCTTAAAAGATGATATCATTTGTTTGTATTAATAGATAACCGATATGTATGTAATGATTACATTGTAATCACATTAAATTTATTTAAAGTTATTTGAAAAGTTCTGGGTTTGTCCTCTTTATCAATACTTTATAAATCATTAAACAATAGATTTGATTCATTTTTAAAAATTATTGATTTTATAATCACTATGAGGTCAGTTTCTACAGTAATATCTGATAATTGTTATTAGTTCATTTAGAATATTCTACATATAAATTTATATATTTGTATATTCTGTTGTAATGTATTGCATAAATTGTTATATAACAAAATTCAAATTCATATGTAAAATATCTTGATTCTTGAATTTTTTAATGCATGAAATTAGCAACCAGTAACCACTGGTCTATTTTTCATAGAAGCACTAAAAGTATATATGTTTTAAAATTAATTCATATTACTTATTAGTTAATCACTATTAGTAAAATAGTTATGAGATAAAAATAGTATTGAATGCTTAAAGCTTTAAAATTTTATTAAAGAATATTTTAGTATTTTAAAACTCTAATGAATTTTAAATTACATAAACGGGAATTTTGAATTTAACAAATTATACATTAATAGAAATTACAAAATGTTGTTTAAATGGGAATGGGCAAATTGGAGGCCACAGCCAGGGCACCCAACTCTCCCAATCTGTCCAACTCGTTGTCAAACATCTTGAGATTAGCGCATCCCTGGGGTGTCGAGAGATCCAGGTTTTGGGAGCACTGCTTACCAGTGGTGTAGAGTTGTTGATAGAGAGCCCCAATCTATATATCCATACGATTATTAATATTTTCTATAATAATTATAATACAAAATACTTTTAACAGTCATACCTGGCTCACAACTGATGCCATCGGGGGAGTGACACCTTTGAGGAGAGTACCGCCGGCACCCATCACGGTGTTCAAAATGGGCAACTTGATATTGAACTGAGCCAGGGCACCTCCGTGTTGTTCCAAGAAGTTGCAGGTAATGGTGTCGTTGATGTGTTTGGCGCGGTATTGCTCGTCGCAGATAATCAATTGAGTCATTTGTGCGATCTCTTTGGTGGCCTCCGCCTTCTGGTCGTCGCTGGTGGCGGTGCTCAGCACCTGTGGCTCACCGGTGGGGCCCATGATGTTGAGCACTCCCGGGCCGTAGTTGTTGTTGAAGTTTGCGTAGCAGACGAGTCCCTGTCGTTGGGCGGCGTCGGCCCGCTTCTGGACCATAGCCGAGGCGGTCACCAGATTTTGTTGCGTCAAATCAAACAACTGTTGGGATGTGAGGCCGTCCAGGGCTGCGCTGCCGGCTTTGGCGCATGCGATGAACACCTGATCCTCAGCCAAAGTTGCCAAAGCAGAGGCTACCGTTCCCATGCATTCAGAGATAGATTATTAGTTTTTGGGTATTTTTTGATTAAATAATCAATTCTTACCATAAGTTAGAGCAGTCGTCAAAACAATGATTTGAGAAAACATTTTGAAGATTTCAATTGAATTAACTATTGAATGTGAATTTCATCTAGGAATATGTTTGGTTTATATAAGTGTTTGAGTTATGCATTAAATATTATAAAAGTACCGTACATTTGCGCAATTGGTTATATAAATTTATTTTAAACAAATGGTATGAATATATTGATTGTTTTGATCTGACAGAGTTTTAAACGAAATGAACATTTTGTGAAATGTATTGAATTATGTTATTTCAATTGTTTTATGATTAATACAAATATACAAATAGATTTGTTTTAGTGGTATAGTACTCAGTATTTATTCCTGGTTTAAAGTTATAAATCATTAATCCAAGTTCACTGTTAATGTTGCACAATTTTAAATGGGTGCATTTTTGTATTACGTTAACATGTGTTTAAAAAATTATTTTTATCATATTCAGTTTAATTTCAGTGAATTTTTTAGTGTAACTTTTTTAAGATTCATGTAAAAATAACTTCCGTTTAATTTATTTGGCGTTAAAATGAATTAGTGTTCAATAATTATACAACCTAGTTATATTTGTGTGTGAAATATCTATTATAATTTATAAAGTATTGGTCGTTTAAAACATATTACTCTACTTTATTATTTTAAAAGTTAAGTCACTGTAAACGAGTATCCAATTTGATTAAGATTCAAACATTAATCCATTTATTTTTCATCAAATTTTTATTCAATACACTTATTCTAATTTATTTATTGATAATCTGTAATGACTTTTGATTGCAAATCTCTTGCATTAAAGGCATACAATCGCAATCAGTTTCCATCCAATTGAACGCAATCTTGTCCTCCAAAACAGTCAAATCTATTAAACAACTCATAAGTCTTAAGAATTTAGTTTTCGCTTCACATTCAATGCGATATTTATTTAATAAATAGCGTTGAAGTAAATACATGTATATATTCTGCTGTAACCTATAAGTAGATAAATTATAATAGTGTTAATTAAATTCATAGATTATTTAAGTTATTAATAAATATTATGTTTAATATGAATTACCGAATGAGTTCTTTATGTATTAGTTCTGGTCTATCAGGGTTAAATAGTAGTATCACTGTCAACTAAAATAAATTATCATCAATATTATAGCTCTATTTTTCAAATTAATATAAGTTTAGTACCAAATCAATGATAATTGGATCGGAATCCCATTGTATGCCTATTTTGGTGAGAAAATGTCGATAACTTTCATAAATGTTTCGCTTTTCAGTCTTTAATAAATCTAATTTCAAAATCACACTCTTTTCGGAGTCCTAACATTTAAATACAATCAACAAATGAATTCAAAATAATCAAAACTATATTTCAAACGCAAACTGACCAGTGCATAATTCCAGTACTCGTACTCAAAATCAAAACATAAAACGGATCTCAATGAGCACATCTCAAAGCACCCATATTTGATCAGGGCTATTTGGTCGCTATCCAACAATTGATTGAATGCTGGCAAACATTTGGACATCTGGACAATACTCTCGGTCACCCTTTCCAGATATATGGCCAGAATTTTGGTGGTATTCAGCGAACACTGTCTGCCGTTATTGAAGTCCATAATGAGTTCATTTTGACACTCAATCGTAATTGTGTTCATTTGGTTGCTTTGCATCACATTTGTCGCGTTCAACACATCTGTCATACAAATATATGATTTAATGTTGAAAATAATACAGTATGTTTAACATTTTAAAGCTTTATGACTATAGCACGTAGTATAAAAGATTATAATGAATATCCCAATGTGTTGATTTCATATTCCCACTACAGATATGCAAAAATAATTTTAATTCCAGTCTTTTCAATTAACTTTCAATACTATTCAATAGTATCATTTTCTCTAATAATATTATACAAATAAATAATTGACATCTCAAAATAGTATAATTACAGTTATTTACAGTATATAAGAAGCTTTCACATTCTATATTTAATATTATAAAGGTAATTTTCCAAATATTAGTCTAACTTATCATAGAGTTTGAGTTGCTTATATGAGTGCACAATATGTTACATTACTTGTTAGTGCAAAATGAGTAACAAATTATATGACAAATATAATAATTATCTTATTACAAACTTTATACCGGTACAAATCAATAAAAATAATTAAGCTCATGTAAATGTCTAATCATTGGATTCTAATGCAATAATTGCAAAGTAGTGTATATATAATACATGTAGACTTGTTTAATAGTAAAGTCATAAAATATTTGAGAAAAATATTTTGAATTTATGATAATCAACTAGTATAATTAAATTTATTTTGTTAAATATTCTTTTAGTTAGTGGTTGTATTAATTTTAAATGCTAAATATTATAAATATATTTATTATTTTAATAAATAAATTAAAATAAAGTAGCTTTTAATAATAAATATAAATATCGCAACCTTGAATGTGCATACAGTATTTAGATATAAGTGTTCATTTTATCACGATTTAACATAATAAAACTGATAAAATATTATAATGTTTATATTGCTTATAGTTTTTATTTTATTATAGAAAGTATATTGTTTGAAAACTCAGTGATTAAATTGAAATGTCGTTTTAACACATAAATTGTTAAATTAATTAATAATTTATTTTAAGCTTGATATTTGTAATAGACTTTCAAAATATATCAGATCCTTATATTATTTCATAAAAATTCAAAACACATGTGAAAACATTAATCTGTGTTTATCTATTTATCTAATAATTCTGGAACATTATACTATAAGGAATCCTATAGTAACTAATGTTTATATCTTTATTTAATTAACCTATTTCCAATTGCAATAAGTTTAATTAAGTTTTAAAAATAATTAGTAGCTGTTTAAAGTTTAATATGTGTGAATGCAATAAAAATATAATAAATAATGTCATATATTTAGATATTTGTTCTTATATAAATTTATTATTTATATTACTCACTGCTTCTTAAACAATTCTTTACACAATAAACACCGCTATTCCGTATACCATACATTTTATCAAACACAAATTTGTTGTATTCATTAATAACTTACTATTTAACAAAATATGTATTCTGAACAATTTAGGTTTTAATTTTAATGCACTTACTTGTGAATCATGTAAAGTAATGTTCAGAAGAAATGCATTTAATTTTGAGGTAAACTCTAATAAAATTTAATTATAACATAAAGTAATAAATATGTCTGCAATAGAAATTGAAATGTCATTTTCGGGGAAACTGTAGGATAGATGTGAAGAACCGGAAGTACTGCAAGAGGTGTCGTTTGGCTAAATGTTTTGCCGCAGGAATGAAAAGAGTAATAATAATAATAATAATAATATTGTTATTATATTTTACTATTAATTAAATTCATTAACAATTTATTGCTTGAATTGAAGGACAATATACTGACTGATGAGGAGAAACAGAAAAGGATTCATAAAATTGAGGAAAACCGACAAAAACGGCAGAAACGGAAGGAAGAGATCGAGGCTCTGAAGGCATCCCTCGATTCCAGTGTCGACACGGCCACCACATCCATGGAAGTGATGAAGAAGATTGAGATAATGTCCACCGAATACGAGCGCCTGAAGGCCCGTCTCCTGGAGCTGGAGTCCTATGCGATGACTAAGCGCTGGAACGACATCTCGTATGATGTTTACCAGAAGGCAGTGGAACTGGAGTTCACAGCCATCCCTATCGCGCGACCACTTCACGAACGGCTCATGCATTTCAATGAACTCGAGTTCAATCGCTTCAAAGAGGTGTTGGAGGCGACAAAACTGATGGCCTTAACGCCGGCGCCCATCACCATCCAGTGTCAGATGAATGTGATCCATAAGTTCAATGAGGGCTTCCAATGCGCCCGAAATATAAGCAGAATAATGGCTATATTTGTGGAGCGGATCACTAAGAGTATTGTGAAGATGTCTAAGAATTTGCAGGCATTTAACAGCATTTGCGAGAATGACCAAATTATCCTGATCAAATACGCCTCGTTTGAGATTTGTGTGATCCGTGCTATTCTTTGCTTCAACTTTGAGCACCAGTATTGGAATCTGATCATGGTATTTCATATTAAATATATGTTTTGATTATAAAATGTGATGAATGAACACAAAGTGTTTGTATGGCTAAGGATGACGAGCGCTCTGTTGTCATGAAATTGGATTTATTGAAGAAAGACAAACGAAATATTCACGAAAACCATAAAAATATTTTGGATAAAATGGGCAAAGAATGGGAATCAGACACCAACTTAATTGATTTGGTATGTTTATAGATTGTCATGGTCAAAACAAAATTATTATTTATAATATAAATGACATATTATAGCTGACAGCAATCATACTATTTAACCCTGATCATCCAGAACTAATTCATTGTGAACTTATCAGGTAATAGAAAATCTATTGTACAATACAAATGGTTAATTAACTAAATATGAAATGTTGACAACAGGTTACAGCAACACATTTACATACATTTACTTCAAAGATATTTATTGATAAAAATGGGTTCAGATTGCGAGGCAAAGACAAAGTTCTTGAGAATAATGAGCTGTTTATCGGAATTACATATTTTGAAGGAGAAGATGACCAGCAATTGGTTGGACGACCGGACGGAGTGTATGCCTCTTATGAATGAAATTTGCAACAAAACCAATGTTATTGTCACTACTGTTGGCTAATTGATTAAAATAAAGATTATTTTATTTATTTTACATTATTCTCAAATTTATTAAATGCAATTATATTTATTTAATTTAAAAATTATTAGTATAATTATCTAAAATGAAATATAAATTATAATAGATTTTAATGTACTGTACAGTAAATAAAACACCTACATATATAATGTTAATTCAATTCTAAATCTATTGAACACTGTGTAATTCTATATATATTAAAATATTTTTAACTTTTTAAAATATATCTTTATTTTATATCATTATAATACAATATTATAATGAATAATAAATTATGTAATTTGTATTAATTATCTATAAATTTTAATTGATTTTATTAGGTATAATTTAACATCATGCCATTATACCGTACTAATGTCAGATAATTAGTTCAGTAATTGAGATACAGGAGTCATACTGTACTTCCCAATAATACTCTTTATCTTACTGTAGATAACTCTCAATGTCATTGAAAGTGTATTCTATGATATGTGAAATACATAATAATAATAATAATATACAATTTACAAAGTACTGTATATTTTCAATGTCACCATTAAAAGTGTTTTCATTGATTTAATAATGTTTATGTCCGACATTTTTATTTAGTTTACAAAATATATTATAAAATTGTTTTCTTTCAAATTAATTTTAAACTAATAATAATCCAAATATGAGTTCCGAAGAGTTTATAAAGAAATGTATGATTTGTGGCGATAAAGCTTATGGTATAGTAGATGAATAATATTTGTACTGTATACAAATTTAAGTTTTTATAATTATGCTACATTAGGTTATAATTTCAATGCATTAACGTGTGAATCATGTAAAGTAATGTTCAGAAGGAATGCTCACAATTATGAGGTATTTGGAAATTATGTTCATTTGTATTAATATAAACACAATTCTTTCACTATTTTAGTATAAATTTTGTCCAAATATGATAGAAATATAGGTGTAGTTTCAAAGGCAACTGTCGTATCGATAAAAAGAGCAGAAAATTATGCAAAAAGTGTCGTTTGAATAAATGTTTTGCTGTCGGAATGAAAAAAGTTAGTCATTTACATTGTATTACATAACATAACATTATATTTTGTAAACAACTTTTATTGAAACTCATTAATTGTCTCAAAAAGGAGAGTATAATGAGTAGCGAACAGAAACAGAGAAGACTCCATAAAATAGAGTCAAATCGTATGAAGAAAGGACTGATGCCATCCTCAACCACGACAGTCGAGTCCACATCCAGTGATACTCAGGGCTTAACCAATACATCAAAGTCTGTGTCAGTTCTTAAGAAATTTGATCACTTGGAGAGTGATTACGAGAAAATAAAGGCTCGACTCATGGAGTTAGAGACTATTGTGAAGAGTAGTCATCCCATTAATAGCCAAAATAGTAACATAAATATGAACACAAATTACAATAATTTAAATGAATACCAAAGGGAACACCAATCTGTATATCAGAAGGCACTGGAACTTGAGTTTTCATTCATACCGATAGGCCGTCCACTGAATGAAGAGGACTCGGGTTTTAGTGATATAGAGTTGAGTCGATTGAGAGATGTGTTGAACGCGACAAATGTGATGCAAAGCAACCAAATGAACACAATTACGATTGAGTGTCAAAATGAACTCATTATGGACTTCAATAACGGCAGACAGTGTTCGCTGAATACCACCAAAATTC